GGCCTCCAAGGTGACCTCGTCCTGCCCAATGAAACCCAAGACTCTACGGTGGGCCTCGAAGATAGCGCCAGACCCCATATGCTTCTGAATGAACGGCGAGGGGGACTCCAGAACCTTCTTGGCACTCTCGATAGGGATCCCGCCCGAACATTTACCATGCAAGGTCCTCCAAGAAGTAGTCCAATTCCTGAAACTCTGCGAGAGCCATCTACACACGAAAAGTTCAGGATGCCGAGCAGGACGCTGGTCACGACCCAAGACAGGAACCCACCAAACCTTGGGGATCTCGCCTCGACACCCGGTTAAAGGGAGCTTAAACTGGAGTTGGTCGGCAAGCTCAGCTTCAGCAAGGTTGGCCCATCGCTTATACAAGTCGGTGAGCCCATAGTGAGCGTCCAGAGACCCCCGACGGGCACAGTCAAGCACTCCATTAGCAAAAACCAGTGTGGCATCCCAGTCCTGAGGAGCAGGTCCAGGCCCGACAGGAACTTCAACAGGCAAAGGAGGAGGCTTCCTAAATTGTAAGACTCGAAGATCGGCTAACCTGGCATGGAAATCGACCCCCGCAGGCGAGTGAGGGGATGTCGGAGCATACCTGTCGACCCACGTATCCCTGACACCTTTAGATAAGCCCCCAGAGACCACGAAAAAATCGTAGACCTTCCCACCAGCTGAGCTAAGACAAGTGGACAAACCGGCCGTGATCACCTGGCCCTCTAATAGTTGAACGAAGTTGGAGTCGTCAAGCAACGAAGGCTCCATATTGAAATCGCCTCCGATCACAAAACTGTTGAGACTGCTGCTGGCAATCGAACCGATCTTCGACAGCAGGGCCAAATTCCTGTCGGACAAACCCTCGCAGCGCGACAGGTAGCAGGAGATGCACAGGATGGGTGGAATGTCCCCAACATGAACAACCCCAGCAACGGCACGATAGTCTTCCACCACATAACCCCCTGGGGGCCAATGGAGGCCCAAACCTGAACGAGCTAGAATAGCCACACCTCCTGAAGTGCCTGAGTCTGACGAAGCCTTAGCACTCCCGAAGATCGATTTCCAACCGTGATTAAGGGCCCAGCGCTGAGCATCTGGGATCTGGTGCGCGAGCAAGTGGTGCTCCTGGAGCAACACCACGTGCGCCGCCGTCTGCAAGATCCAATCCTTAGCAGAACTCCAGGCCGTGCAATTGCAAGTGACTATCTTCAGGTTTATGGCATCCCCCCCCAGGGGCTGGGGGGGGCCCTAAAAACTTCAAAACTTTCAGGCCGAGAAACCGAACCTGAGGGAAGAGGAGCCTGCGGGCCGACAGGGGAAAACGCAAGGTTGGGCTGACCACCAGCTCGTTTTTTGCAAAAGTCCCCCTGTTTGCAGACGCCTCGGGTACTGTTGGCGGAACACAACAGCACGGCTATATATTTATCAAGAGAACGAATGGACTGAGCAAGGCGATCCTCAAGCTCAGCTCGATTATAAACAGCACAGAAAGGAGGTTGGAAAGAGATGCAGTGATGGCCCCCCCTGCCCGCGCTCACAGTGGAGTCGCGCGGGAGGGGGCAAATGGCACTTAGCGGGGGCCAGGGCTGCTTCAGCACGTGCACGAACGTCAGGAGGTGCATCCCCAGCTTCGCCAGGCTGCTTGGCCGCCTCGCCTTCGGACGGGCCCGCCGCAGTGCTGGCAGCAGCGCGGCCGACGGGGCCTGACCCCGCGCCGTTGGCCGCAGCTGCCTGGCCTGGTCCAGCGCCGCCACCAGAGACTGCCGCGCCGTCCTCGCCCTTCCTCTTCTTGCCAAGACGCTGAACATGCTTTGCTTGCTCGTCACGAGCAGACTGGGCCTTCTCCAGCGCCCCCTTGAAGAGGGAGTTGCACGCCTCGCGGAACTGTTCGTTGAGAGCTGCACGTCGAGCTGCCATCTGCTCCTTGTCGTCGTCGGAGACCTCGTACTCGCCCTCGTCGAAGAGAAAGATCGAGTCCAACGAGACCATGTCCAGCACGTTGCAGGAGCCCTGCATGAGCTCGGACACATCCACCTTGGTGCGCCCGAGAGGCTCAGCGGGGGTGGGATCGACCACGTTCCCAGCCAGCTCGCGGACCAGGTCCTTGTAGTTGTCGTCGGCAGCCTGCAAGGACTGCTGAGCCGCCGCCGTCGAAGCCTTCTGCTCCTCCACCTGCTTCTCAAGCTTGGTGAGCTTGTCAAGCTCGGTGGACAGCTTGCGCTCCCAGTACTGCACACTGCTGTGGGCCTTGGCTGCGCGCTGCTGGACGGGAGCGGGAGTGGTGGTGCGGAGCAGCTTGTCGAGCGCCGTCTTGTGACGGGTGGCCGCCTCGCCGTCGCCAGACTTCTCGCACAGGCCGATGAGCGTCCGCAGCTCGGTCTCGGACAGCTTGGCCGAGGAAGAGCCAGCTGGATGCCCGCCAGCACCGCAAGGGCCCCCAAGAGCAGGAACAGGCGCAGGCTTGAGGGCAGGCCAGTGGGTTCCCGACCTCGGCCAGCCCCCGACGAGATTGGGGGGTCCTGCACGCATCTCGCCGCAGTGCTTGCAAGCGATCCAGCCCTCGAGGTTCTTCTTGCATCCGCATGCCTCGCAACGCCAGCGGCGGCCCGACCACGACACAGTGTCCTGACGGGGGGCGCTGATTTTCTCTATCCACGGACTAGTGGGTGGTGCGCGTGTGTGCGTGCGTGCGTGCGTGGGTGCGTGGTTGTGGTGGTGGTGGTGGTGGTGGTGGTGGTGGTGTTGTTGGAGGATGAGGAGGAGGAGGAGGAGGAGGAGGAGGAGGAGGAGGAGGAGGAGGAGGGGGAGGGGGAGGAGGAAGAGGAGGGGGAGGGGGAGGGAGAGGGGGGGACGACAAGCTAGGTGCGCGCGCGTCATATCTGACGTCCTACCCCTCGCTCCCATCCCTTACCATGGCGCTGATTTTCTCTATCCACGGACTAGTGGGTGGTGGTGCGCGTGTGTGCGTGCGTGCGTGCGTGGGTGCGTGGTTGTGGTGGTGGTGGTGGTGGTGGTGGTGGTGGTGCTGCTGCTGCTGCTGTTGGTGCTGGTGGTGCTCGTGGTGGTGGTGGTGGTGGTGGTGGTGGTGGTGGTGGTGGTGGTGGTGGTGATGGTGGTGGTGGTGGTGGTGGTGGTGGTGGTGTGTGTGTGTGTGTGTGTGTGTGTGTGCGTGTGTGCGCGTGTGCTGTGGCATGGCACGGGAAATGACGCCAGCGCTGCAGCGGGAGCACGAGTCGAAACGGGCGGAAGCGCGGAAATGAGGCCAGCGCTGCAGCGGGAGCACGATTCGGAACGAGCGGAAGCACGGAAATGAGGCCAGCGCTGCAGCAGGAGCACGATTCGGAACGAGCGGGGCCCGAAAATGAGGCCGGCGCCTCGGCGAGAGCAGCATTTTGAAAAAAACACAAGCGAAAACCCGTTTCCCGGGAATCCTGTGTGTGAAAAACGCTACGCGGGGGGGGTTCGGATATCTTCGGGACGCCATCAGGGGAAGTGGGAGAGTATTTTCACATTGTGTAATTGTAAAGGAAGAGGAGGAGGAGGAGGAGGAGGAGGAGGAGGAGGAGGAGGAGGAGGAGGAGGAGGAGGAGGAGGAGGAGGAGGGAGGAGGAGGAAGGAGGGAAAAATGGGGGGAATGGAGCCGGGAAGGATGGTTCTGTCAAGCTGGGCTTTCTGCCGTCCGCGTGACAATGTGAGAGGATAAGTCCCGGTGCAGTCCCGGTCTCGCTCGGACCTCGACGCGCAGGAAGACCTTTCCGGATCCCTTTGGGAAACCTCTTGGAGGCCGTCGGGGTGGGGGTGTCTCTGTTTCTCTCTGTCTCTCGCCCGCTCCGCTGGCAGGGAACCCCTCGGTCTCGCTCGGACCTCGACCCCCGGGGGTCTCTTGGGGACCTCTTGGGGCCTCTTGGGGCCTTCTGGGAGGTGCGTTGGGCGGACGGCTACAATCCTCGAGTCGGAATTCCCCTCTTGGAAGGCTACAATCCTCGAGTCGGAGTTCCCCTACTGCAGCCGTCTTAGTCGCCTCTTGGACCGCCTAGGCGCCCCTTGAGCCGTCTTGGGGGCCTCATGGGATCCTCCAGGGCCGTCTTGGGGGAGTCTTGGGAGCCTCTTGGACCATCTTCGCAGGGCCGTGGAAGCTGCCAAGGCGCACATGCTAAACGTGTAAGTTCCCCATCGGAATTGAATGATCTTGGCCTCTTGAGGCCCTCTTGGGAGTGCTCTGGGAGTTTTCTTGGAGCGTCTTGGGGCCTTTTGGGGCCGTATTGGGCAACTCGAGGCCTTCTTGCGCCGTCTTGGGGGCCTCTTGGAACCCTCTTGGCTCGTTTTGGCACCATCTCGGCCTCTCCGGGCCGCCCCTGGAGAGCGAAACGGGGGTATCAGCGAGCATATTAGAGTTGTTGCGGGCTGGGCCAGCCCAGGCCGGGGGGGGCTATTCATATTCATATTCACACACACAAGCCTATATACACATATATATATATATATATATATATATATATGTATATATATATATGTAATGTAATAACCTACCACGGAATATTCGTAGAACCTAAACATGTTCTAGGGACAAGAACGATGACCTCAGAGCATAAACCCGATGTGTTGAGACAAGACAGCCCGACAGCCCCAGCCAGAAGTGTTCTAAGACAATGTCGTGCAGAACCCAAACATTATCATAACATGTTTTGGTGGGCCTATCGACAAGCCAGGGCCCTTCGCCATTACACGTCGGTCGGAAGAAGTAGGTCGAAACATGAAGTAGGCAGGCGGATGTAGCAGATTGGGTCCAGGTCCTCCCAGAGAAGAACCAAGCACAGCAGAAGCATGCCGACTCTTGAAGTAGGAAGGCGCTCGAAGCAGATTGGGATCTGGGAATCCACAAATACCTACTCTCAACGACCGGCGTGTACTCCATGAGACACCCCGCATTCGCGGGGGGGGGGGGCGGCCCCAAGGCCCGGACCACGAGGCCGCGGATGCGGCTGTGCTCTGCGCCCGCCGGGCACCGGGGCGCCCACCACGGCGGCGCCCCCGCCGTGGTTGCCGAGGGAGCGCCGGAAGAAGCGGCCGTTGGGCTCCCAGCAGCACATCACGTAGCAGCAGTCCAAGGGCGGGAGCGAGACCAGGCCAGGGATGAAGTGGAAGAGGCAGCCCTTCACCGACTCCTCGGTGCACCAGGTGCACTCGCCGTCCGGTCCGCAGCAGAAATCGCCGTTCTCCCAGAACGAGATGGCCACGAAGCCGACGCAGAAGCCGGCGAGGCACTTCTGCTCCACGGTGCGCTGCGTGCCATCCCCCTTAATGTTTTCGGGGTCGGGCTGCCAGAAGCAAAGGCTCACGACGCAGCCCATGCAGCAGAGGAGCTCCAGGATGAGCGCGCAAAGGGCCTTGCCTTCAAAGATGCCCAGGGTGGGGTCGCCGTGCTCGTACCCGGACATGGCGCACGGTGGGTAGCACACTTTTGCACAGAAGGAAGGGGGCACCCGCGCACCGACGGCCTTGCCGTTCTGATCGGCGGTCTGCGGCATCCACCCGGGCCCCTGAGGCGTCTGCGACATCGCCTGCTGCTCGAAAGGCTGCGCCACGGCGGCCATCGGCTGCCGATGTCCACGGGGGGCCCGGGGGCGAGAACAGGCGCAAAGAGTTTAGTGGTCACGAAGAGCTTGAGCCAAAACGGCTACGCAATCGACGCCAACGCGTCTTGATGAAACTGTGCAAGGAGATACGTGCAAGCGAAATCATCAAACAGTCGCTGACCAGATGCACATTCATGTTCTCGTCGTGGGCACCGTTGCTGCACAGACCGCTCACGATCTGGTCAGCATGGGCTCCTAAAGCTGGATCTAACAAGATGTGGATAGCTTTCTCTGTATATCGCTCCGCATGGTGATCGAGCCCTGCCCAGTCGGACCCTGACTGCTACTGTCGCCCCCACGTTTCCGAGCATACACAAACGAATTCTCGCCTCGGCAGGTTGAGCGCTGCAACGGCCAGCGCCATGATGAAAGGGGGGAGGATGTTGCTTTGCGGTTCACTTAGCATGCATACTGAACTTGTGCTTCGGCAATCCAAGAGAAGTTACGGTCTGCATGCCAACTTCAAACGCATTTAGTGGAGGCATCGCGCATTACTTAACATGATGATTCGGAGGCCCGCGCGGACTTTTTGGATCGGCCCTTGCCCCTTCGCGGAGCGCGCCAGGGGCTGCGCTGGAGACGCCGCCAGGGGGCTCAAGCGCCGATCCCAGACTTCCGCGCGGGCCTTTGAAACTTTGTCTTAATGACGGGGCTGCACCCATTGCCCGCGGCTCGAACGAACTCAAGACGGGTGAAATGTGGAGAGGAAGGCCTGACGAAGGTCGGACACCGTGCCGCGAGGCGCTCAGCGGAGTGTCCTCGGGCCCCTTCGGGTTCAAAGGGGCCCATCGGCAAACAAACACATCAACACAAACGATATGATTTCCCCCATTTTGAAATATTTGATGGATTTGCCTCTTCCCTTCCATTTCCGACGATCCCCAAAGAGTGCTTGCACTTAGGGGCTCTTGATTGATTTCTGAAGACCTGGGCATACGCGGCGGTCCGGCGGCTATGTCGCCGCCATCGCCGCTCAGTCGCCGCCGCCAGTCGTCTGGGCCTGCGCGTTGGCCTGGATGCCATGTCGCCGCCGTCGCCGCCCCGTCGCCGCCAGTCGTCTGGGCCTGACTGGCGGTCTGGCGGCTATGTTGTGGACGTCGCCACCCTGTCGCCGGCCCGTCGCCGTTTAGGTTGTACATCGTACATCGCACCACAAAAATTGCACAACACATGTTCTTTTTTTTTATAAAAAAAAAAATCTCCGATCCACCACCCCCCTGGGATTATCCGCCCACCTCCTGGCATTGCAACTTGAATGCGAATTTGCCCCATAACTCTTTCAAAAATTGAGCCCGTACCACCCCAGCCAATCGGGTATCGACACCCCCTGCCATCATTTGCAACAAACACTATGCGCACGCGCTCGTTTATTAAACACAAGTATTCTCACAATCCCTGTCAAAAACTGTGACGGAATTTTCGCGCGCGCGTCGTCGCACGCGCATGTCGGAATCCTTCAGATCCTTCGGTTCCGTATGGATTTCGCAAAAGAGAGTACGTGACACATGTGATTATGTATACGTGTATGTATATGCACAAAAATGAAAATAAAAAGGGAAAGTGGTGGGTATATCACATATGATATACGGTTGTGCAACATCCGCTTGCAAGCAAACGTACACGCGCGCTAACCATCAGTTCGTCATCTAGGCATCCAATTCTGCCAAATGGGCTTCTCGCGCGCGCGCATGTCGAACTCGTTCGACCGCCCCTGCGCGCGTGTGCGGGGGGGGGGGGGGGGCACGATCCCTGTCAAGTAACACCATGCGGGCCACTCGCACGAGTCGGCCGCGCGCATGCCGAAATTAACATCGCAACCGTCATCGCCGTCGCGAGGACGCCATCATTGCCATCGGCGTGAACAACATCGGCGCCATAATTCGCGTTGCCACCGTCATCGTCATCATCGTCACCAACTTCGGTACTATCATTTCGTGCTTACCGTAGTCGACGTCCCCACGGTACCGCACCAACCCAAATCACGGACTCCCGCTGCAGTGCCCGCGCGTCAACGTGGACTGCAAGACGCGGTGGGCGTGCCCAGCGGTCATCCCCCCCTCGGCCGCGTCAGTCGCGCCAGATTCGCTGGCCGCCGTGCGCGCGAGCATGCGCGGGCCAGCGCGGCCACAGAGATGCACCAGCCACCACCTAGCACTTCTCGTTGAAGCAACCGCCGCCACGTGGATTTCGCAAACCAAATTGCGGGTGGGTGGGTGGAGCAATGCAGTTGACAACCCCAATTCTCCTTGAACAAACTGCACCAATAAAGTTGCACCACGTGCGACGTAGATTGGACAACATAGATGGCACCACGCAAAATGTACCACGTCGGCTGCACCATAGCAATTCACATCACACGTTGCACTCTGCAAATTCCACCCGCTACTAGAATACACCATCCAAATTGCCTGACACAGTTTGCACCATATAAATTTCCCGTCAAATATTGCAATCACATATTGCACAACAAGACAGCACAACATACACTGCTGCATACCATATACCCCACTCTCGAACATAATATTACGGTATACCCCTCCCGCCCCACACCCAGACTGCAAATGTCACCCCTTTTTTGGTGTAGTGATGTACTAGCGTTTGTGCCAATCGTTAATCCGGGGGGTGGGAGGGGGAAGAAGCGTAGGAGCAGGAGGAGGAGGGGGACGAGGGGGAGGAGGAGGAGGAGGTGGAGGAGGAGGAGGAGGAGGAGGACTAACGAACGACCCATACCCATCACAACCTGCCCTCCTCGGAGGAGGTCCCATCAGTCGCGGCGCTGCCCGCGCCGAAACGGAGCGGTCCGCGCGCGGCAGAAGCCGCGCCCCGCGCCCAACGAAGGGCGGGCTACGCTGGGCGGGGGCGGGGGGTCCTGAAGCTGGCAAAAAGACGGGGGGCGAGGAGGGACCGCAGGCGAATAACGACACCGAGAACCGCCCAGCAAAAGCGGAGGAGGAGGAGGAGGAGGAGGGGGAGGAGGAGAGGAGGAGTAGAGAAGGAGGAGGAGGAGGAGGACGAGGAGGAGGACGAGGAGGACAAGGAGGAGGAGGAAGAGGAGGAGGTGTCCCGCCTTAAAATTGCAATCTGCCGTTCGTTCGGCGCGCTACAGGAGGGCCGAAGATCCCAATTTTAAGGCGGGGGGGGAGGAGGGGGAGGAGGAGGAGGAAGAGGAGGATGAGGAGGAGGAGGAGCCGCAGCAGGAGGAGCAGGAGGAGGAGGAAGAGGAGGAGGAGGGGGAGGAGGCGGAGGAGGTGGAAGCGCCAAGGCAGGCGGAAAAGGCGGCAGCCATCCAAGATTTGATGTGTTTTTGCCCTCCCCGCGGAACTCTCGACCTCGCTACCTCGATCCCTGAGGCGGGCGGATGCCCCTCGCCGCGGCCTCCAGCGCAACGCCACCGCAACGGCGCCGACTGGCAAAGGCCGCCTCCGAACCCGCAGGAGGCGACCTCAAATGGCACGACGGGGGGTCGCCCCTGCTCGGCCCCACGCGCGCGCATGGAGAGGGCGCGCAAACGAGCGCAGCACTGATCAAGCTCCTCCACCTCCTTATTCTTCTCGTCGCCGCCCTCCTCCCATCCCCCGCCATGGTTCCTCAAATCGTTTTCGAATGTCGCCTCCCACTTCTGATCAATATCCTCCTCGCGTCTTGCTCTTCCACCCGCTTCCCGTCGACCTCCCTCCTACCTCCCTTCCACCTCCGTCCACCCCCTGTCCACCTCCCTCCTCCCCCCTACCTTCCCAGCCGCCCTTCCCCACTCCCCCGCTTCGTCCTCCTCCCCCTCCTTCTACTCCTCCGCTTCTTGCCCTCCCCTTCTTTCTCTTCCTCTATCTACTCATGACCATCGCCGTCACCATCGTCATGGGCATCACCATCGCCATGGTTTCCATTATCATTACAAGGACCATTGCAGCGCCCCAGATCCTCCTTACTATCCCCTGTCCTTCTCCCTAACCCCAGCTTGGATAGTGGGCCAAGGCCTGCAAACGTGGCCTCGCTGAGCGCCAGCTCAGGGCGCCAAGTCCCTCCCCAGGACTGTCAACCAAGGATCCTAGAACACCCCATCGATGGGGCAGTCCTTGGAGTCCAGCATGTGGTCGCCAAGCCACTGCGACCACGCGAAACGCACAGCTGCCAGCATCGCGTTGTAGCTGTTGTTGCCGTGATTGGCCCACCTCTCGCTGTGCCGAGGGTGGGGCTTGACGTGGACCTGCCAGCTGCCGACCTGGTTCCCTCGCCACGCCGTGGCCCCTGGCGGCAGGAGAAGCTTGGCCTGCGCCTGCGGTAGGTCGTCGTGGCCGATCGGCGTCTTGAAGATCTTCTTGGGGTACTTCAGGTCCCGCATCCTCCGCCTCGCAGCTGCTTTCAGATCGCCAATCTTCTTGTCCCCTAGCAGGGCGTGGTGCAAGTCGCGCACGGCCGACTTGTACTCCCTAACCTCATCGTTGGACATTTTCAAAGTCTCGAGCTCCTTCTTCAAGGTCACCTGGTCCTGCCAGAGAGGCAACCCGAAAACGCCAACCTGCCACCCCTTCAGTCTGAAGGGGGGGAGAGCCCGGCAGGAAGTGGGGGGGCGGAGGCTGAGGAGGCCGAGATAGAGGCCCGAACGACTCACCCATCAAGGGTAAATCGTTCGAGCCCCCATCCCCGTCCAACCCCCGCGCCGCCCCCCGAATGAGCGAGCTCGGTCCTTCGTGTCGAACGACTCCACGATGATCTCGTCGTCCATCACGTCCGCCATGTCGTCCACTTCCTCGTAGTTGTACTCCCGCTGGCGCAAGATAGCCAGGAGGTCGTCGTCAGCAATTTCAGGGAATATGTGCTTGATAAGTCCCCTCAGCACTTCTACCAGAGTCACGCCGCCCCCAACGCCCAACTCCTCCGAGAGCACTTTCAGGAACGAGAGCGGGAGCCGACCGAACGCCTGCCTCGCTGCGACGTTCAGGAGAGGCGCAATTGGCCCTGACGTCCTGGCCAGAACACCCATGTCACCGTAGTGCGACGATCGCTGGAGCGAAACCTCCTTGCCGTCCTTCCCACCCTCGGCCACGATGGCGTTGTGCAACGGGCTGCAGATCTCGATCGAGCAGGCCTCCCACTTGGAGAGGTCAAACACTGCAAACAGACCAGGCTTCACGCCCCCTTGCTGTGGAGCGTAAGCGCCAGATGTGTGGACTCGCACGGCTGGCCATCCCACAGCCAGCGTCGAGACGATGTCGCCAACGCCGATGTACCACGCCTGGGTCTCCTTCTTCCTGAACAACATGCGAGTCGACACCAGCCTTCCCATCCAAAGCTTCTGGCACAAGCTCAGATCCTTTGCAGCCGTCACATCCCGCAGCGCAAGCATCTCCGCAATCGGCGTCATTGCCCTGGACGCGCCAGGACTGTACCAGGACGCCTCGCCGTACCCGATGACCTGATTCAGCTTCAGCTCCCGCACTGCCTCGGACTGGCGGCCTGGCCTCAAGGGCGGCCTGAAGCACTCGTCCTCGAGTTCGGCATTGCGGGCAAACAATACGGAAGTGTGGTCGACCTCCTTGTACTTGTGCACAGACGAAGCAACCCTCTTGTCGATGGGCAGGGCCCAGGCCCCCTCAATGCAGCACTGCGTGTTGCTGCCGAGGTCCACGTTCTTCTTTACACGATTGAATAAATCCTCCACCAATTGTGACACAATGATCCGCTTCATGCGGGCGGAGAGGAGATCGTTCATGCGCTCGGTCCACTGCCATTTCTCAACCTGCTGGGGGGGGCAAGGGGGATGGGCGCAAGAGGCAGTGGGAGGTCCAAGGCTTGGCCCGACCCGATCCTTGACCAGCTTAATCCGCCCTGGACCCCAGCCACCTCCTCTTCCCCCTGACCCCATTGTCCCCCCCCTCAAGACAGCCTGGAATGCCAATCCTATCTGGAGAACGGACATGCTCTTGAACGGGGACCTCTCCGCGAACCCCTTGGCCCACGCCGCGTCCACCTTGCAGACGGCCAAGTGGTTCGTGAAGTCATCCTTGAACCTCTTCAAGACCGCGGCACGGGAGCCCTCGTTCAGGGGGAGCGTGAACTGCCGAGGGTACCCATCTGAAAGTTGAAGGAGCCGCGCTCGCCGATGCCCAACGATAGAGAAACAGAGGTCCCAGAGCATCCGTGCGAAGTCGTCCGACTGCGATATCCTGGGGCTGTCCGCGGAGATGCCTTTCGTCGGGGGCCACTCAGACTCGATGCCCATGTCGTTGTAGTTCGTGCTGGTGCCGATGACCTTCACTGTGTCCTCCAAATGCTCCCACAGCTCCCCATTGAGCATGCGCGTTTCCCAAGGGATGGCGGCACCGCCTTCTCTCAAGGTGGTGTTCTGATCAGAGTGCCACTTCCGCGCAGGCTTCGTCACGTGCGCAATGATGCACTGCGCGTGGAAGGCCTGCACGTCTGCGTACAGCATCGCCGCGCCATGCAACTGGTTCTCGCCTTTGAGCGTGTCCTCTGTGGTTGCCTTCGCCGCTTGCTTCACGGTGGCATCGGCGCCGATAGCTGGTCCGCTGGACGACGCAGCAGAAGCCGCTGGTCCCGCTGGCGCCTTCTTTGCCTTGTAGCCGAACTGAGCGCACACGTAGCCGTACAGACAGGCCTTGACTGCAAACAGAGACAGGTCCTCCTCCGACTTCTTAGAGAAGAGGAAGTACTTGGCGAAATTTGCCTTGGCCCCCTTCCACCACAAGATTGGGGCCGTCTGCAGGACCCGCCAAACCTTCTCGGAGGCGTCGTCGGCGCTGATGTCGATATCAAGCTTCTGTTGCTTCACGATGTGAGGCATCCAGAACTGGAACCAGGGGTCTGTGCGACAATTCACTGTGCTCATGTACTCTGCGGCCGCCTCGCGGATCTGCTGGAGCCTGGGAGGCGAAAGAGTGCTCCCGTACGCACAATTCATCGCCGACATGACGCGCAACGAATGCCTCCAAAGGCCCCGCTGCTTGAAACTGTCCTTGCACACGTCATTGTGAGCACCGTGGCTTAAGTCCCAGTCTGTGTGAACGTTGAACCCTGTTGCCGTGAGATAGTTCTGCATGCAAACGTTATCGGGGCCCTGGTCTGTGGATAAATTCAGGTGGGCCCACTGGAAAGGGTCCGTGTACTTCCCGTCAACTTGCTTGATGTGGAACCGTTCTATGCCTTTCCCCGTGGTCTGAAGGAGCATGTTGTGCACTGTCAACATTGTCTGGTACGTCTTCATGCGACGGCGCTTTCGAACTGGCTCATCCTTACCTGAAGTCTGGATCCCAGCCTGCTCATTCGCCATGCGCAGGGATCTTTTTTTCCAGACGCTCAGACCATGCTTCCTGCCCTCCTCGCCTGCGCACTCGAAATGGGTCAAGTACGTCTTCTGGACCTTGGGTCGGGGGAATCAGAGGCCCCCTCCCAAGCGGGCCAACTCAAACCGGTGTCACTGCATCATGTTGGGCCTCATGTTGAGCCTGTTGTTCGAGTGCTTTCGGTTTGGGGCCTGCTGTGCTGCGGCCCCGCCTTAAAATTGAGATCTTCGGCCCGCCTGCAGCGCGCCGAACGCGCGACAGATCTCAATTTCAAGGCGGGCCACCTCCTCCTCCTCCTCCTCCTCCTCCTTCTCCTCCTCCTCCTCCTTCTCCTCCTCCCCCCCCTCCTCCCCCCCCTCCTGCTCCTCCTTCCCTTCCGCGTCCTCCCCCCCTACTCCTCCTCCTCCTGATCCTCCCCCTCCTCCAACTCCACCTCCCCATTCGCCCCCCCCATCCGCCCCTGCCCTTCCGCCTGCCCCTCGCCCTCCTCCTACCCCTCCTTGCGAGCCAGATCTGGGGCCGATCTGAGCGCGGGAATCTGGCGGGAGCGGGTTGTGATGGGCGCGGGTTGTGGGGGCCCTTTTCCGAGGATGTCTCGAGCGAAACCGCCCTCTCCAGAACTTGACCCTACCCGCTCGGCTCGATTCTGGGCCCCCAAATCCGTCGGTTTCGGACCCGCCCCCAGTGAATTTCCCACGGCCTCGGCCTGGGGAGGAGCCACTGCGACGATCCCAGACTCTGCATTCATGATGAAAGCGCCCTGGATGCCGAGGTCGGCCCCGACCTTCGTGGCGTCGGGGCCCGCCATGCTGTAGAACAGGCGGTCGGTCATCTCCTGCTTGCACGCCTCCTGGTACCTCCACAGCTCCCGCTTCACGTGCCTCTTGTTCTTGGGGTCCCACACTTTCGATCGCTCAATCTGCGCATCCACGTCGCTGGGCCTCGGTTGCAAAGCACGGGGTGTCCCATCCGACCCTCGCACTTCGACCTGGGCCGACCTGATGTACTTGTCCTCGATGATCTGGGACACCTGCCACAGCACCTGGGTCGCCACCGACGCCGTCATGCTGGCCTTCTTGGACTGCACTGCGAACGTGATCATTTTGATGGCTGCATCCTGGAATTGCTTCCCGTGCCACTCCTTCAGAACAACTTTCTTCGCCTCCTGCCGAATCTCAGGCGGCACCCTGACATCATCGAACCCCAGGAAGCACGCGGAGAGGTCATCGGACACGCGCATGGCGGCAGGAATGTCTCCCTTGGGCATGTTCCCAACCCGCCTCACGTCCTTCCCGAGCCGCAGTTGGAAAACCGTGTTCGGCTTGACGAACGAGAGTAAGTACGATACGATATGTCGGCACCCAGCCCTAGCTTCAGGATGCGTGAATGCACCGCCTTGCTTCGCAGTCGCACCGATGCTGTTGACGAAGTGCGCCAAGAACAGCGGGACGCTGAGCGACGGGAACAGGAGGCACCTCCTGATGTCGATAGAGTCGTCGTCTTCTGCGGGCAAGCTGGCGTAGGGCAAGCTTCGACGGTAAGCCGCGTCGCCGAGGTTGAGCTGCTTCACCAGCTTCTCCCACTTCGGCACTCTATGCTGGAACCATGCGGACCCTGACCCAGGCGAGAATTTCCAGTCAAAGTTGCGCCACAGACTGCAAATGTCCACGAACACACGGCCCTCGACTGACGGAAACGAGAACAAAGCGACTTGCACGTTCACGAAGGTCCCCATCTCAGACTTTGCAATCGGCACTTTGACCAACGTGTGACGGGCGCGAAGTTCGCTAATCGAGCCAACAACCAAGTCACCCCTGTACAATCGAGTGCCCAATTGGTTGTGCTTGAAGAGGTGAAGGGCAAGCTTCCTGTTGGCATACTGGCCTCTGCCGTCGCCGTCGTAGAGCACAGCCAAGCCGTTGCGGTCGTCCACCTCGCACTCCCAACCGTGACCGTCCAGCAACTGCGTCTCCATGGTCTCGGAGTTCGTCACGTAGAACTGCCTCTGGTCCCAGCTGGGCTGATCGCTGAAGACGTCGATGAACGACTGGGGTTGCACCGCTCTCCACTTGACCTCCCCTGCGTCCTCGGCCATGATCACGGCGTCGCAGAGGCCCGAGGAGAAACTCAGAACGCGATCTCCGAAGTAATCCGAGCTGAGCCAAAATGGCTCCGGCTGAGGCGAAGCACTGGGGGTCATGGGCCCCATCGGGCCTCATGGGCGCCATGGGCCCGAGAGGCCCCATGGGGCCGTGGGCCTGATAGGGCCCCATTGGGCTCGTGATCCTCATGGGGCGCATAGACCGTAAAGGCATCGTGCCTCATAGGGCTCATGGGCACCATAGGGCATAGGGCCCCATAGGGCCCATGAGCATCATAAGGCAGATAAGCCCTTTTCGGCCTCATGGGGCCTCACAGGGCTGCCAGGGCGCATAGGCACCCTTAGGCTTCATAGGGCCTCATGGGGCCTCATAGGTCTTACAAGGCTCGTAGGACTCATGGGCCACGCATGCATAATAGCGCGCATAGGCTTCATAAGGATCATACGGCACATGGATGTCATAGACCCCAGTAGGCTCATAAGCTTAACCTGGCCCATGGATCTCCCAAGGCCCATGGCCCCCCTTACGCCCCATGGGGCCTCATAGGGTCTCATAAGGCTCGCAGGATGGTTGGTCTTGCGTTGTAATCCAACGGCCAAGGGCCGTCAGAATCTGGCGGCCATCAGGTCGGGGCGGTATCCGCACCCGTCGGGACCGCCAAGAGCGGTGAGAGAGGCGGAGTCACAAGGACTTGTTGGCCTCGGTGCAAGGGGGGGTGGAACGACCCAGACGACGTCGACGAGTGGTCGCGTTCCACCCCCCGAGGGAGTGGCTCAAGTTGCCACTTCCGAGGGTTAAAACTGAGGCCTCAGTTTTAACCCTCAAGCGGTTCCCTCTGCCATGGCGCCGTTTGTGGACGTACGCTGTCCTTTCATCTGATCGCTCCTGATCGCTCCTCTTCTTCTTCCTCATCCTCCTCCTCCTCCTACTCCTCCTCATGCTCCTCCTCCTCCTTCCTCCTCCTCCTGCTCGCGTCGGCGCTCTCACGGCGCCATCCTGGCGCCCTCGCGGTGGCGTCGGAGGCGCCGCCCAAGCCAGCAGGGGCGACGAATCCTGGCTGTGACGAGCGGCGGCCCGAGTCTCCAAAAACACCCCCTCCCCTGACCACCGCCCTCCACCACCACCTCCCTTGCATTCCAAATGCTGCCAGGCCTCCTCACCTCGCCCTCCCCCATCTCCTCCGCCCCGCCCCGCCTCCAACTCCTGCCACGACCCCGTGCTCGCCTACCTCCATCAGCCCCCGACTTCACATCCGCTGGGGGGGGCGATGCATTTCAGCCATGACATTAGATATTTCGCACGCTCGATCGATCTGCGAAGAGCCAGCCCAGCAGCTTAGAACTACCCGCATATTCTGACACTGCAGGGGGGCTCCACGTTTCCTACTGAAAGCGCTGCGCCGACGGAAGATTGCCCTCCGATCAGCCAGCGGCGCCACGTTGCGCGGCGCGTCGCCTCGGACTCGCGCAGGCGGCAGCTCGCGCGACAGAGGGGGGGATGGGACCGAACTCCTCCTCCCCCTCCTCCTCATCGTCCTCCCCCCCTCCTCCACCTCTTCCTCCGCCTCCTCCTCCTGTGCATCCTCCTCCTCCTCCTCCTCCCCACCTCCGCCTTCTCCTCCTCTTCCTCCCCATCCTCTTCCGCGTCGTCCTCCTTCCCCTCCTCCCCCCGAGTCCAGCGCTGAGCCCATCGAGCGTCTGTAAAGCTCGGCTAGACAATGGAAGCACGTTGTGCAACCATGGGAAAACGGAGCTGGCTAACGCATAAGGTCCTCATCCGCTGCTTCCTCAGGCTTCTGCTTTTTCGGTTTCTTGGCGGCAGCCCCAGCGATCTCTGCCGAAACCGCGACGGCTGGCCCCTGCATCGCCTCGAGACGCTTCGCGATCCAAGCGTAGCATGTCGTCTCGAGATGCTGCAGGGTGGGGTGCTTGATATCGAAAATCTTGATGAGAGGGTGTTTCACGCCCAGAACTGTCAAAGAAGCGCTTTTGTCATCCCAATTGTTACTGATGACGGTGTCCATGGTCAATGAAATCTCCTTCCATTTCTCAGCGATGTTGATTGTCTTGCCCTTCGGGCGGAAAATGACATTCTGCGCGCGGTCTGTGTCGGGGATGACTTCGAATTTGAACACGCCCGTGCCACGCTGGTAGTCAATCTTGTCGAACTCGCCCGTCGCATCCCCGAAGAAATTATGGAGCAAGTTCCCTCGAAACTCGTGACAATCAGTGAGGAGGGCAGCCAAATTTGTTTTCACCAGGTAATCGCCCTTGATCGGGAAGTTGTCAGGGAGCCCACTGGCAAACAAGCGGATATTGCGAACGTCCTGAACTCTGTTCGAATATTTCTCGATGATCTTTTTCGACGGCGGCGGCTTAGCTACCTGTGATACCCAAGCCCACATCCATGCAGTCGGTATATCACCCAGAGTGGACACTTTCGAACTATCGAAATGGGGGTCCTGGAGATCGGCGCTGGACGAAGATCTCTTTTTTTTGCTGATGAATTGGTCGAGCCCGTTCGGATCGGACAACAATAACTCAACCTTGACGATATCGTCTGGCTCGGCATTCAATTTCTGGACAATCCGCAGAAGTCCGTCCACACGAGATTTCATCATTTTCCACTGCACAGTCTGCTTCGGCTTGACCTGTTTCTCCAACAGAAGAGCTGCGAGGACCTTAAACTCCTCGCAAGGCATGGTGACACCTGCGTAAAGAAGCGGACAATACAAGAGTAAAAAAGGATCGCGAAGAGCCAACCAACCAGAACGGCTTCGGATGACGAGGCGACATGGGACGAACGTGAGTGGCATGGAACCAGACGTATCAACGCACTTCCTCACCTGCCCCCCAAGACGATGAGATCTTGCTCAGACGCTGCTCAACGCACTGCTTGAAGGTTGAAAAAATCTCATGTACCCCCTGCGTTTGTTCCGGACACGACCCTGACGACGTCGACGAGTGGTCGCGTTCCACCCCCCGAGGGAGTGGCTCAAGTTGCCACTTCCGAGGGTTAAAACTGAGGCCTCAGTTTTAACCCTTAAGCGGGCCAGGTCGCCGAAGGCCATGGCGCCGTTTGTGGACGTACGCTGTCCTTTCATCTGATCGTTCCTGATCGCACCCCCTCTCTTCTGTTCCTCCTCCCCCTACTCCACCTCTTCCTCCTCTCCTCGTCCCCCCCTCTTTTTCCGCGACCTCCTCCCCCATCGCCCCCCTCCACCTTGTCCGATATGGCGAGCGCCGAAGGGAGCCAACGAACGCGCAGTCCGCGCCACGCTCAGGCCGAGGACTGTGGAGACGAGCGGGGCAGAGGGCGGCTTGACGACGGCAGCGACCACGAAGACACGACGAGGGAGGGAAGAGGGAGGAACCTGGTACTAAACCATGGAACACGTCCTGGCCAAGGGGAAAGCATTCCGAAACTCTGGGGAACATAAGGACATTAGAGGAGAGGGCTGAAGGGGAAGGAGATGGGAGGACTGATTTTTGCGTAAGGGAAAGTCGCACAGGTTTGGTTTAAGTTGTGATGCGTTTTGGTGGGCAAGTTCAACGCCTGTAGCGGCGGGCGGGGGGGTGAACTAAACGGTGTGATTGTGTTTGCTGACAGCAGACAAATCCTCATTGGCGAAATCCGCCGTCCAAGGGAGCGGGTTGTGATGGGTATGTGTTGTTCGATAGTGAGAGGAGGAGGAGGAGGAGGACTGTCATGAGTGTCATAGATCCGCGAAGTGAACTGCGAGAGAGGCTCAACCGTCACCCTCGGCCACCCAGACAGGAGGACGGGGCCCGCAGGCGCCAACACCGACGGTCAGGGGAAAGGCAGATACCTCGTCGGTGAGCGACTCGCTGCCCACCCCGAGACGGCGTGGTGCGCAGGAGGACAGCCGGTTCACCGCGTCACCGCGCAGTACTTCCCGACCGTCACCCCTGCCGAATCGGATGGTATGTGCAAATGGATTTGTACCCCAAGGTGAGCGGACACAAGGTCCCAAGGGACTTACGGACCACATGGCCCCGCCTCTCAACCAAATGCACACTCCCCGCGCATGGTACCCATCTCCAGGTCACGGGCGCAGCTAACGCGCCGCTGCCACGGGCAAAGTGCCACGTGGCTGGTGCAAGAAGGACGAAAGCCGGTATATCTGCCTCCAGCCGCCGCATGCAATTGACACTGACAGTGTGCCCCGAGGAGTGTGTGGCGCTGACACCATGAGAACAGGTGCCAGGCCCCCACCCTCGGTGCAAGGAGGAGGAGGAGGAGGATGAGGAGGAGGAGGACGAGGAGGGGGACGAGGGGAAGCTGGAGGAGGAGGAGGAGGAGGAAGAGGAGGAGGAGGGGAAGCTGGAGGAGGAGGAGGAGGAGGAGGAGGAGCAGGAGGAGGAGGGGGGAGGAGTGGGCAATTCCTCCCCGATCGACGACGTTGACGACAACGACAACGGCGGCGCCGCCGCCGCCGCCGCCGACGCCGCAGGACGACGGCCACGAGGCGGCTGCGCGGCTCGCCGGGCCTCCGGCGGCTCCGGGCCGAGCGGGCCCAGCCTGGCCCGCCACTGCAGCAGCACGCGGGGGTCCAGCAGCGAGAAGTGGCCCACGCCCGGGGGGAACCAAGTCTCGGCCTCTGGGCGGCGGCGGGACCTTCCCAGACCCCTCCGAACAATCAAAAAATCACGGCGGGAGGTTTTTCGCCATCTTCGACATCTGCGGGCCCTCGCCGGGCCTCGGGACCGTAAAGGAACGACTCAGGACGAGAAACCGGTCCTGGGGAATGGGTCGAGACCTCTCGAGGTCGACGTTATGGGGTCTGGGTCCTCCTCTCCCCCCTCCTCCTCCTCCTCCTCCTCCTCCTTCTCCTCCTCCTCTTCCTCCTCCTCCTCCTCTTATACCTCCTCCCGGGGAAGCCAAGAGGCACCAGTGCCGCAACTCCCCAGACCTCTTCGGGGGTGCGTTCTGACCAAAATTTCGAGGCGAACCTAGCTTTGGCGACGAGGGCCTCCGAGGAGGACCAAAGGGGAGGAAACGAGGAAAGGGTAGCGTTATGGGTACCGTTTCCTCCTCTGACCTCCCCCCCTTTCACAAGGCAGAGGTTTATGCATAGCCACCATCTGGGAATCAAGTATGCCTTGACCTCGGGAGGATGTGCATGTGATATATATATATATGTATGTATATATATGTATATACATATATATATATATATACAAATGATATATTGGGCCCCACGTGGGCTCAAACATCTACATACCGCCCCCTGGGGTACCATGAAGATCGGCTTCCCATGCGGTGGATCTTGATACGCCCCAGCCTCGGACCCTCCTCCTCTCCCTGCTGCTGTCCACGGCGCTCGACTCGAGACGCAGATGCCGCACTAACGGCACGCTCCGACACGAGCGGCGCTTCGGCACGACCTCGAGCCTGCAACCCGAAGACGAGGTCCTCTGGACAGAGGCCGACGACGCAACACCGGGGCTCCTTCTGCCCTCCGCCTCATCCTGATTTGCGGGGGGCCGTCAGGGAGGGGCCCGCTCAGGGGGGGAAACACATCGAGCTGACATCGGCGATGCCTCGCCGATGAGGCCTCCGATGGCAGATCCGCACTCCCTGGCGTGACTGGCTGGCGATCGGGCCCTCTCATCGGCGAACATGGGCCATCGGTCGGAAGCCGGGCAAGGGCCGCTAAATCCGTGGCTGCTAAAATCGACATCCGGGAAGTTGTCTTCGTCCTTCCGGGAAGAAGCCCGCTGACTGTTTCGCGTGCCGCGCCTCATTCCGGGAGCTTGTTCTTTTCTTCCGGGAGGGCAGTTTTGGCAGCCACGGTTTTAGCAGCCCTCGCCCAGCTTCCGAATCGGGGGTCAGACATCAACCCCAGGAGCAGGTCCCCACCCGACGGGGGTCAGACATCAACCCCAGGAGCGTGTCCCCAACCCCGACGTCGTCCCTGACGATCCCCGTCCTGCTCTCCCTCCTGCCCAGAGAGGGAAGAAGAGGGGGCCACATGAGACAGCGGCGGCTCTCCCGCGGAGCCCGACTCTCAGCGCCCCTCAAACGGGGACTCCACTAACGGGTACTTTGGCCAGTGACCCAGCGAACCCAACCCTCCCCGATGTGGGCAAAGCTGCAATGCAAGAAAAAGGCCCTAAAGTGGCAACTTTCGGCAAAAATTCGAAGTACCCGTTAGTAAGTACCCGTTACGGTGCCGTTGAGACTCCGCTCAAAATCGGCCCCCGGAGCTCTCCCTGGATCCATCCTGGACCCATGGCGGATGCAGCCTCGGCGCTGAACAGCCCAGAGCGGGCCCTGGACGGGCGAGAAACGTCGGGCAAGGCCGTTGCTTCGACTGGCCTCTCCTCTGAGAGGCAGGATCAGCCGGCATCGCATCGGCAAAGCGGATCGAACCGAAGTGTGCATCGGATCGGGCTGCACCGGCACGAGATCGAGCTCGAATCGGATCGGCCGCGCCGGGATGCACACCAGCGCCATGCAGGCATCGGGCCGCATCGGATCATAGGATTAGGTCGGGCATGTCCTCCTACAGGGGGATGTGTTTGGAGGAGATCAACAAATATTCAAAACAATCTGGACAAAAATCGGAACATCGTCACCATACTATGTTTTGACTTGTTTTGAAGATTCCTGATGTAGAAGGACACGTCCCACTGAATCGTAGAAGAAGCGGACTCGAACCGGCCGAGGCCGGCCAGAATGGGCATCGACTCGGACCGATCGGATCGACATGGACCCTGGAGAAGAGGGGGGGACGGGGGGATAGGCACGCACCAAAGAAAGAAGGGGCCCCGGGACACACAAATCAATAGACACACATCTCAGGATTTCCCAAGGATATAAACCAATAAAAATTAAAAAGACCCAGGATTCCCAGGCAAGTCCTGGGACACATCAATGAATAGACGATCCATTGTGTCTGTGTGTATTTTTCTCTCCTGAAGGAGTGCGCCAGGGTGGGCTGTGGGGGGGTCCTGCGGCACAAGGCGCCCCGCGGTCGCCCTGCACTGCTCCAGGGACGACGGCCCCCGGCAGCAGACCTAGGGGGGGCCGCCGGGAAAGGCGGAGCTCGTCGTCATCCTCGCCCTCCTCCTCGACCTCGCGGCTCCGACCCCCCGCTACTCCTCGGACCTTCTCGCACTGCCTCCTCCCCCTCCTCCTCCTCCCCCTCCTCCTCCTCCTCCTCCTCCTCCTCCTCCTCCTCCTCCTCCTCCGTGTCTCCCTCTCCCCCCTCCTCGTGCGTTTCTCCCGCCGCGGGCCCCCCCTCTTCCTCGCCCTCCCTTCTCCGCCTCCACTCTCAAACCTCCTCCCTCCTCCTCCTCCTCCTCCTTCACCTCCTCCTCCTCCTCCTCCTCCTCCTCTCCTCTCCTCTCCTCCTCCTCCTCCTCTCGCCCTCGTCCTCGTCCTCCTCCTCCTCCTTCTCCTCCTCCTCCTCCTCTTCCCTCTTCCGGCACCACCTGCTCT